CCACGGTTGCTCTGTTTATATGACACTCTTCCATAATGTCTCAGTCCTGAACGAAATCAGAATTTCCAACTGTACCCCAATAACTGAAAAGACATCAGTTGTTTCGATATGCAAGGTCTGTTCAATATATATGGAACGCAGAACACTTTAAGTAGGAGGGTGAAACCACAAGGAAATTGACTGTTCCACATAATTGGAAAGAAATGAAAGTTGTGTTTCCGACCACGTTATGCCCACAATGAGCTGGCATGACATAAATGCCAAGCATAAGGAGTAAACTTGAGTTTAAACCAGAAATATATCAATTTGAGATGTGGCAGTGGGTTGTGAGGACTGGAAATAGAACCTAATACCGTAGAGTCAACATGCTACACCCACTGCAAGGTATCAAATGTAACTTAAAAATCACCACATCATTGTCTCGGGTATACCATAGAGCAAAACGCACTCTTGCGTTGCCAATGGATGCATTAGCGATAGCTGGGTGATCACGCAAAGATGTCATCTGATAAGATGGACAGTGGTGGGTCTCTTCAAAAGCGATTAGCTTTAGTGTATGCTTGACCTGTTGCTATTACATGCGATAAAATGTTACAGCTTGATTCGGCAGGTGTAGGTAGCAAAATGCTCGGTCTTTCGGCACAATTTATCAAATAGTTGTGATCTAGTTGAGTTAGTAAATTCATACTTCGATTTGGGGATATCAGGCGATTCTCATGTCATGCACATACAAACCCAAATGTGTGTCCTACTGGATGGAATTGGATGTGTCAGCGAGCAAGACCAGCGAGCATGTTTCCGACACAATTTGTATATGACACGACAAGGTAGAGGAGGACATGGTTACACGATTTAGGGAAAAGGTAATGGGCTTTGTGTGCAGTCGGGAGCCAAAGAACATGATTTAAAGCACAGAGGAGAGACTTAAAGATGACAATTTGCAAATAAAACTTTGTACAATAAAACTGCATTCTGAAAACCCTGAAGATGTAGAAGTAAAACTATAGTCCTTCAAAACCTGAACAAATGCAGGATCCTTTTCTGCTGCAGCCAACAACAATTACTCTAAAACATGAACACGATATATCTATCACAGACAAAATTCACATTGAAAAGGCAGTCGCTGTGAATATCTCTTGTGTCATTTTGATAAAGCAACAAATGTGGCTTTAGGAAATTTGACTCAAACCTCCACTGTTTGCCTATGAGCGTGAATTCGAAAGCTCTGCCAGATTTAACCTCTTCTTCAAGAGCAAATACAAATCCCCTATTAGGAAGTCTCAGTAAAGTGTGCCAGAAACTGTAGTGTTATAAAAGAATTATGTTAGGAAAGCAAAGAAGGACTTGAGTGGGGAGGGTTGGCGCCAAACGTGAGCGGATTCTATGATATCAGTTGCAAGTACTTATGACCAGAGTAAAAATGAGGAAACCTTTTCCTTATCAGCAGAAATGTGTGTTAAAGGTAAGGACCTGACATAGTCTATTTCTCGAAATATGGTTTCCGAGATGGAGAAATTTCGTTCACGTACCCTTATGAAACTACAGCACAGTCGCTGCATTTGAACTCGTCTACTCAACAACAAAATTCTCTCATGTATTCTTCTGACTGCAGCATGAAAATCGTCCTGGTGTCGGAAGGAGTAGAGTCCAAAATTTTCAATTTGTTTTGCAATGAAACATCGGAAACAACAGCGACTACACTTCCTCAAGATGCTAATTAACGATACACAGACTTAAACCTGACTAAACGGAGAAACTGACCGAACTATGGCTTCAAACGCTTCAGCTAAATGCCAAACGACACAGCCCAAAGTGTCTGCTTTGCTTGCCACTATTAAGGAAGGATCAAGTTGATGATGTGATGTAGCGCATGTCTTGTGACGAGACAAGCTTCTCTCGGCAATCGTGTAGACATCACTTTCACGCCTGCTGTGTTACCGTAAGCAGCTGCCTTTATTGCGGTAAGATGCAACCGGGGCATTCATCAGCTATGGGTTCGTGGTTTTCTAGGGAGGGTATTCAAAGAAATTTTGTTCTTTTATATACTTCTGTACATTCTGAGCTGGACGGACACAAAGCCTTGAGCTGAGGGAAGGGTGTGTTATCCCTAGCCCTGTTCTACTATCCATCACTATTCCGCCTGTATGTAGATGCAGTTGAAATATTTCAAAGGGGACGACTCCTTACATCTATATTTTGAATTTCTCGGAAAAGGAAAATTCTCTTCCCTCTTGTGGGCGAGCAATCAATCTCCTAGTTACACGTCATCACTACGTGATAGCCGTTAAGATTGCCACGCCCTTTTCCCTTAATTTGACGCAGTGAGACGCTGTAGACAGCAGCAGCGCTGCCGCTTGAAACTAAATATTTAGTCTGTTTTGTCCACGAACGTTTCAGCTGTACGTTTATCGTGGAATTAAGAACATCTCCCTACACAAAATATATCATTGGTCCTGATTGGCTATTGGTTGTTTGTGCTTATGGTAGAAAGTTATTAAGGAATGCTTTCCGCTTAGCAGTTTTGTGAAAATAAGCACAGGACGGACAGTCAACAAACCGTTGTCAAAAGGAGGGTTTCGATAATAGAGGAGTCGGTGCTTGACTTGGTAACCATGTGTGACTGAGCAGGGGACCAGCTATAATGTATTACCTCCTTGGCATGTGAGATGCACCCCGACGAGAGAAATAATTTATAACTGACGAGTGATAACCATTAAGCGTGTCATCCTCAAGGATGAGGAAACCGATGATCCAGACCACGGTCAAATTCGACATGCAACACCAATGAAGAATCTTGATTTATTCATCTTTTAGCATTAATTATTTGAAACCACCACCTACCCGGTATCCTTTCTCGTCCTCACAAATAACATTCATAATGTGGACGCATATGTAGTCACGCAACGAGGAAAACAATGACGTTTATAAGACAGTTGGAAACCGTTTAACTTGTATGATAAATTACGCACAAATCAATACGTTTTTATCCATTTAATATCTAACGACGAAAGCTAAGGTTAAAAAACATCACCAAACCGATGCCAGTGTGTCTCAATTTTACCACAAGAAGAAGTAGACTGAAAATGCGCAAGACCATACATTACTTCTGTTATAAAGTCTTCATAAACTTGAGAAAAAAAAGGTCATCTGAGTATGGCCCATGTGATATTGCAGGTTACTTTGACGGACCGCAGATTTCGGCGAGGTTAAATCAAAGGTGGAATTCAGTGAATCCCTAAGTGTAACTTCCAATGTCATACACAGTAGTTAATATGTATGTAGGCATGCAGTCTCCGAATCTCCGAAAGACTCAACGGTTCCACTTATTGTGTTTGTAATCCGTTTGTTAGTTTGTCTTTTTAATCTTATATGTTTCTATTATTTATGAAGGATTGAATCGTTCACATTTCACCTGTCAGCGTCATTATGGAGACAAAAATAAGAACATGCCAATAAACAAACAATAAAAAGAATAAAGAAAAACTCAAAATGCTTTCATTTTTTACTGCTCAGTGGAACAAATTAAATTATCAACTCCATATTATTTACGACAGTTTCAATCGCAACTGAAGTATTTTATCTTATGCAAGATAAATTGCGTCAGTAAACAACGTCAAATATTATCTCCGCCCGAAAGACTTTGCGAAAAATACATTATAATCAGAATATCGGTTCGAATGCCTTCCCTTTATTCTTTTCACTGCTCAGGTGCTTATTAAATTATCTACTCCAGAGCAATTTTTCCACTCTCCGTGGAGAGGACTGCGATCCCTTGCTGTTCGTTTGGAACGTCGCAACACCTGTTCTCAGTTTAGAATACAATTTTTGCTTCGTCTCAGTACGGTAGATATATAATACCCGAGTAATGTGCTGGTGTGGTGACATTTTTTGTTTATAAAAAAGGGACAAAGGGAAAGATGTGTAATGGTACCCAAAATAAATGCAGAAAAACAAACTAGTATTGCTCTTGTTACCGGTATTTGAGAAACCACTAAACCATGTTAGGCGTTGGGCTTTGATAGACAGACCATCACTGTATACAATTATCAAAAGCCCCACAAGTCCTCCAAAGTCCATCTCAAGTCACATCATGAGATCTTCAAATTAACTGTGTTAAAATCTTCTCTTAGCCCTTCAAGGGTGAAGCCAGTGCGTAATTTTCACGGGGTGGGGACAGTTTTTTGAAATGGGCCAAAGAGCTTGGATATTTCTTTAACAATTTTAGATTTGTATTTGTTTTGCACCAAATATGGACCGACCTTAATCTGACTATTGCTTACCTATTCTTCGCTCAAAAGCGTCATAACATTCCCCTAGCTTTACGGCGCATTAAAGCATACCCCCACACAAAATATAACCAGAAGAAATACTTTGAAAATTCGCCCGACTCAACAAAATCCGCGGTGCAGAATCAACATCGTGCGAAAGTCCACTGGATGGATTTCCTGTGATTAAACACGGCAGCCGTTGCGGTTAGCGCTTTAATTTTGAACTGTTTTTACATAACATTTTTATTTTTTAGTCTTCCAACGAGTACTTCTTTAGCCGACAGCGATTTTTTTTAGTAAACGGCTGCAGGAGACCAAAGGTTTCAGCCTATATGTGGCAGACTGTGCAGGGTTGATGAAGACCCACCGATTCCTGATCAGGAATTGAAGTATTCTAATGGTCAAAGAACACTTAAACCTGTTTCTTTTCAACTGAATTACAAAGTGAAAGCAAAATGCTGGGCAAACGGTCAAGAATCCGTTTCCACAGAATTGGTTGCCAGTGTTCATCATTCGTTGAGTGTCAAATAGCACTCCGTCGCATGGCAAAGCCTTTTAGCACTAGCAATCAACGGAAATACAGTGACAGATCGTCCAGCCTTTTAAGACTACGGATGATGCACATCATATACAACAATAAATGTGGCCAGTTCGACTCTTAGCATCACACACCATCAGATGCGTTCAACACCTACATATTAAGACACACGCACAAAGCGAGAACGATCTTACCGTTTGCTGTGTAATCAGGCGATTTTGCAGCTCCCAGATTAGTTAGTGTGTTCCAGCAAGTGTCGTGGCTAGCCACTCGTGGAAACTTTATAACCAAGCCGTGGGTCGGCGCTGTCATTTCCGCCGTGCAGTTAGTGTCAAATCTGGTGTATAAAAGCGAGGGGTAAGACAATCGGGACACCATCTACGTGTTTAAACCCATTGTTCTACGGTGATTGGAACAGTACAGTTTGCGGGTATTGGGCGATCTGGTTGTTTTCTCCCAATTGAGACATTCTCATCATAGGAAATCCTCCCTCCGGGAAGATTTACCAGCTCCTCCACACTAGAAGATTAGTGTGGGTTGATTTGTTTTCACACTAGCAGCCAACGGCGGGGATTTGACGGTTTATGCAACCGCAATTTACGGGGAATCTCCGTAACTCGTAGAAAAAGGCACTATGCATATGATGTATGGCCGCACAGTTGTAATGTCGACCATGTCCTTATTCATCATCGCATCATTTGTGGATCGTTAGTCATCGTTGTCAATACCTAAATGTTTTAGAATTAACTGTAGCCTGTTCCCCTTGCATCCTTCGTAACCTGTCAAATAAGCTGAAATCTGACGGTGTTTCTGTGCATTATAAGTTCCCAATTGGGTTGCGCTGACAAACTTTTGCTCCGAATCTACATTCAAGTGAATTGGGTTAATGCATGTGGTGAAGTCACGTCATAAATGAAAGTCAGAATGAAAACAACCTTGGATAAGTTTTCATTTCATGGACCCCTTGCTGGTAAATTGGCTCAACATATGTGCGAGAAACGGTCTACCCCAAGTAGAACCATTCAACGCTTGCGATAACGAAACAACTTCATTGCATGAAGCAGACTGTAAATCAGAAAGCAGCGCGCGGTTATCCCTCTGATGCATTCAGCGCCAGCGGCCTGCAAATATTGACTTCATCAATTCCTAACAAGTATAGAACAAGGAATCTCTCTGTTTCTCTGTGATTGAATTTATTTTACCTTGAGCCTACGGCTAAATAAGCAATATATCATGCTGGCGTAGGCCAAATCTATCTTTTAATAGGAACACTCAACACTTGCATCGGTTAGCCTTGGGAATGAAGTCACTTCTATAAACGTAATCGGTACTTTTATTTTGTCTGTTAGATCTAGGCTATGTCTCTAACATTAAGGCCTCTGTGGCTTTCAATTTCCCCAATATAGTTTTTAATCAGAAAGTCACGAGTAGGTTAGTTCAAATCTGTGGCCAGGATCAACACCACAACTATATATCTCGCCCTAGGGTTACCTAGTAAATCTCATGGATCCTAACACAATTGATGAGTCAAACCTCTAAATCGACACACTGATGAGGCCTCCTTGATCTGGAATCATTGCAAACCGGTTTTTCATAATGTTAGTGGTTGGGACCCACGGACATTGAAGAGGTCATTGAAAGCCGCCGGTGGCCATCTTACCCTGCCGAATACATAGACATTACAATGGCTTGCGAAACATCGTTAACTAAATCGTTCGTGGCATCACTGTAGTTGCAATGGCAAGCCAGCCAATGCATCGCCTGTGTAATCGTCACGGTGAAATGACCAACGGTGGCTTCAGTCGGTGCAAAGACATTGCGAGTATGACATCCGTATCGGGACCTGGCGTCTTCCCTGGATGGACCATCTTCATGTCTGAAGTTCTGTTGCTTCCTTATTAATTACGTCTCAACCATTCATGCGATGGAGAGTATTTCGGTGATCTCTAGTCACTAACACCTCATATTCAAGTTTTCAAGTGCTTTACTCGCTCGGCTGTCTCATCAAAGCATTTAATTTCATTTTTCCGTAGATTGGTACTGTGATATATTCGCCCACCTCCCAAGGCTGATACAGCCTCTCCAGACACCCTGTAGCTTTTATCAGTTCAGTTTTCATAGCTAAAATGAGAAATGTGCATAAAAACCTTCTGTCGCTGTGATTTCTATTTTTTGTTTTCTGGAATTTAAAACATGTTTCTCTAGTGGCCCTTGTGTCAGCAAGGAAAGGCCCCTCTCTTTCTACCTCTCCGCCACACTCTTTATCCTTGAGCAACAAAATCAACTAGGTCAGCAGTGCCATGGTAACAAACATCAGAGCTCGCAAATATAATAATCATAATCAAAGAAATCTGTTAAATGGGGTGATGCCCAATTAATTTGGGTTCCAAACCCCATTTTCAGTTTTTTTAAATGCGACTTAAAATAATTCAAATACAATTTACTACACAATTTTAATCATTCTGGACTTGAATTGGCATGGGTTTGGAATGAACAATTATTTTGTTCCTGTTATTTGTTAACTGTCATGTTTCGTCAAATAAAAACTTAACCTCATTTTCAAATTTGAAACAACCAACACAGTCCATTAAAGGTCTCCACGTGCTTTAAAGAAAGAACTTTATGATAGTGATGTTTGGTTTAAGCAATGAAAAAATGACGTATTTTACTTCAATATAGTTCATTATACAAAAGCCAACGCGGCGTGCACTTAGCTCCATTACATGCAACATCAACCCTACTTTAATTAAAAATTGATGTTTTGTTTGCAGAAGCTCTGGTCTTAATGAAGAATCGGTCTTAAAGTCCAGAAGTACAAATCTGATGGCTTCGAATAGAAAGTGGTAATGTCAGGTAATATGATTGAATGGTTCGTGGCAAAATGCATCGATCAAAAAGCAATGATTTAGTAGTCCAGCAGACGGTAGCACGCATTGCCCCTCGTGGAATTGCAGCATTCATTGCTGACCGTTCTTCATTAGGCTCTCTCTCCCTGTTTTTGTGTGAGACACGATTCACTTAATCATGGAAACATACTCCGGGCCAGTGCCTGTTTTCATTACAAAAACTGTGGTGTTAAATTTGAGTTCATTTAAAACTCTGGGTGTTATCAGAGTTCTACACCCAGTCTGTTGTGGCCCTCTGATAACATCCTGGGTTTTGAATAACAACCATTGTTTTTGCATCTATTCCGGACACTGTATGTGCATAGTTAAAATATTTTGTAGTCCAAAGCCTATACAGAGGGTACACAAAAATTCACATTTAAAAGATCATGTCTTAATGTATAAAAAACAAAACCAATATCGTTTAAAAATATGTGAATCATTTTTATGTGTCAAACATGCAAGTGAAGATTTTATATTCCACTGAAAGGTAACCCAATATTGACTGTAAAGAGAACTAAATGTTCCAAGGTATCCAATTAACTTTCTACATACAGCGTTGGTCGAGACTTCAAGCATTGCATTCACAAAATATGCCCCTTTTTAAAAAATAAATCGGAAGAGTCTCTATTTCTAGATTTTAATTAATTTCTTATTATTGTTTAACCACGTTGCCATGCAAATGTCTAACACTGACGTCCCGTTTCCCTGATTGTGAAATAATAACAGGAATTTTGTAGTGCCTGACGATCATAGTATTATGTTCAGTTTTAGTTGAATAAAAACAGGCATGATAATTATAATAACATTAGAGTGCAGTCTGTAGATTAATTCTGCCTCAAGACATTGACTGCAAATCTGTTATCTATGATCCACATTTTTGGTCATATTAGTGAAAGAACACGCTTATGGAATACAATAGTGCGTGCTCAGCATATCTCAAATTTGGTTTAATAGTAACTGGGTTAATTTAAAACTGGCCATGTAGTTTTAGCCAGGCACAGCAAGTCCTTGCGTGAGGAACTGTTCGCAACTTTAGTAGATGGGGTGTACATATATGCTTCTCTCCCACATGATCTCCTACTTACTCCCCTTGCAAGATTGCATCAGTCTTAATACTAACCAATGTGAATCAAATTTCATGCGAAGTTCTTTGTTTCCTGAAAGTGTCCTTTACAATGTGTGTTTGTTTTATTTATTTTGTGTGCCGTCGTACAATTCCTTTCTCGTCATTAGAGGGTGGTGATAAATGGTAAATGTAGAAACTCATGCCTGTTTTAAGTCGTGTTTCTGGCGATGACTGTCAGACATACAGTTTTGAATCGCTTTGCCAGGTTAATAACCCCGAAAATGGCGAGGTCAATTCTTCCATGGAGAACCTGACAAATGCAGTGATTCCTTGCTGCTTAGTACACGATCCATTTCAAACGATTTTTTCCCCTCAGTTTTTCTATTAGGACGGGAGTTCCAGTGATGGAGTTGTACTTGCTCACATATGGCGTGCAAAGTTAACATTTAATACGCGTATACAGATATCTTTATTCCTTGACCTGCCAAGTTAACATTTATTCCCGGTATCAGGAATAGAGATATCTCTATTCGGAATAGAGATGTATCTACTAGGAACGGAGATGTATCTACTAGGAATGGAGGTGTATCTACTAGAAATAGACAAATCTCTATTAGGAATAGTAATGTGTCTATGAGGAATAGAGATACCTCTATTAGGAATAGTGATATCTGTAGGCCTATACGCAGAATAAATTTGCACGTTATACTCAAAGGAAGCGAGATAATTCACCCTCCAAAAGAAGTGCTCGCCACATCAACGTCCATACATGAGTGTCCCAATACTTGTATTATGAACGAGTCACAAGGCAATGTGTTGGTTTTGGCTGGGGCTTGAGGAACGAGACGGCGATCAAGTCGGGAATTACGTTTTTTGAGCTTATTGTTTTTTTTTCTGTTTCTATTACTTTGTCTTTTTTGTTGGAGGAACGTCTGTGTGTTTTAACAAGCTGCGTCCGGCGCCAATGCGTTTGGTGTAATGGCCTGTAAAGTCTGAACGAATTTAACACAGCCTTGGAAATGATATATTAACTCATTTTGCATCAGCTTCAGTTAGTGAAAAGCCCGTAAACATCTCCCTCCATGAATATGAAAGAGCTGGAAATGACCATTTCTATACGCCCATTAAGTTTAATTGGCATTAGCAAAGAGTGCCCGTGTGTTCAATTTCACCATCGGGGTTCACTTAAAGGGAGTTTAATTCTCGACGTGTGAAATCCGTGAGCAAACATAGCATGATAATTTAATCCACCTGATTCGAACTATCTACAACACCCGATTTAGTTGCTTAATAAACAAAACTTTATTCAATTATGAAGCCCAAATTCCATATAACTATGTTAAAATG